TCATGCAGTTTTTCCCGTGTTATTTTCTGAGTTTATTTGTAGAAGGAAAAGTTTTTGCTTTTTATAATCGCACACTCAGTCAACTTTGATTGTTCGTAAAAAAAAATAACAAAGTTTACATGAGGTAGAGGCACAGAGTAAAAGTTCCTTAAAAAAAAACTTCGATGCTTCAGGGAGGAATAAGATTGAAATTTGCAGTTTCATTTTGTTTCATTTTCCAATTATAGTGTTTTCTTTATTGTTTTAATTTAATTTTTGTATAAAATACGATTCCCAGTACATGTATGATACAAATGTTTTTTGAATTTATTATTATCATTTCTTTATATGCTTATACATAGACGAAGTCAGTATTCATTCGGTTATTTTATGACTTTTTCAATCAAACTTTCCTCCAAATGTTATGAGGCTAGTTTTTACAGCACAATATAATTTCATCTTTCTAAATTCATGTATATCATATATTTAATTGTATWATGGTTTTTATGTTTTGTTTGAAAAACGTGCACGACACATTCGACACAATGTTCAGCGTATTTGGTGCAATATAACTATAATATACTATAAATATAACGTCGATATCAATGGTATTTATAAAATATTATATTATTACGTATATTTCATGTGATACACACTTAACATGTAGGTACCTAACAATATAGGAATAATGTTATAATTGGTATTCAAGAAATATTTCTGTGTCTATGCGTGAAGTCTAAAACTGTTAACGTCGACGACACATGTTATTGTATTATATTCACATTTTAAATTCCTGTTCAATATCAATTGTCTATTTGTTTCTCGAACGTGTAACAATAATACAATAATAATATTTACGGATATAATCCTGGACGAAAGAAACCTTTACATAATACGTACGTGCACGTCAGACAAAGCAGTCAGGATTTCGATGCGATTACATTTTATATCCACGACTTATRTAAAGTCGATTTTCTGAAATGACATTACTATCTTATATACAACCGACCAAACTCATTTCAACATCAATTACGTAACTGCATAATTATACTTCACAATATAAAATAATATTGTATACAATACCTAGTATTGCTTTAATAATCGTAAAATATCATGAAAACCTTGTGCCTAAAGAACCTTGATACCATATTTAAAGTTCTTTAATTGTACTCTTTAACAATATTATTATGGGAAGAAGGTGCACTCRAACCAACGGTTTACCTGGATTATGTCGCCGWACTTGCCACCGGCCGCGGTAAAGTTCAAGTAGCACAAGAATGGCAATCTGTCTTCCCTGGGCCTTCTAACCTCCAGCTCGTAAGTCCGGCCGACCTCACCGTGATATGTCCGGTTGCAAGCTGTGAAACACACAAACAAACGTTCGATGTATTATAATAATATTCAATGTCAMGTGTACGCGTGTATAATAATAATACATTAATACGTTACGAGCGCGTTACGTTCCGATACGAAGACGACAATAATCGTCATCGTTAAACGGATCTTCCTGCCCCCATCCCTCCACCACCCGCACACCCATTCGGCGTTCCTCTTAAACTTTGCCTGACAAGCGTTCCCAAAGTTTTGGCGATAATGCGAATTAACTTTCTACACGCACGCGTGTGAAATAATAATAATTATTATTGCCATATAACCACTAGAATCGTCATCGGACGTGTGCCAAAAGCGGCGGCGGCAGCATAGTCGCATGTATAATAATTTACGCAAGCACGCTCCCGCTGACTATTCTTTGAACACAATATCAGTTTCCAGAGTTCTAGACTTGCAGTGTGGTAGAAGTATAGTTTAGGGCACGTGTATTAACGACTGAGGTTATAGTTGTACACGTTTTGCATGTTATCCAAACGTGATACGGATAGCGAAAAACTTTATTTTCTTGGTACGGTGCGCGTGAAATCAGAGAACCTTTACGTGAGAATGTAATATTATTATTATTATTACATCTATATCCGTGTTATGCTTACGTATATGTCTTGTTATATGATGTGTACTTTTATATTGTGTATATTATATTATTATATACGTATCTGCGTGACGAAATGAGACCTTTTTAAGGAAGTAGGTAGGATTTATTGAACCGATCTGAGTTACATGTTCGGCAAACGAGCATGTCACGCAGAAAAATAAAAATTCACCGTTGCAGAAATCGAAGAAAAAAACTCTTTTTACTGGAATAATTTGAATATCCCAGAATGTTTATTATATTGACCTGCAGCTGAAATATCATAATAATATGACATAGTYTRCGTATGCTAGTGCATGCACTGTCAGTTATAAGTACTACTGAGTGCTAATTATTTATTATGCATTAACTTATTATGTTTATAATTTGTTTTTTTTAAGTGTCAATTTTTTTATTTAAGATTCTATATTTCGACTTTACGTAGAGTTACCCAGAATGATAATTTAGTATTACAGATAGCAATAAGCAAAATCACTATATGTTAATAAAACATAAATTAAATATAGAAACCGGTAAGTACTTAGTATGCATATACCTAGTAATACATATTATTATTAYTTACAATATTGCTTTTAACTTTTATCGTGTAGACAAATACAATATAGGTTATACGTTTTTTATCCATTTCAGAATTGTTGTACCTATTCAAATACTATTTTGAACTAATTGTCAACTACAACAACGAGTTAGGACTTTATAACAATGATGCTATAAAAAACAAATTTTTCTAAAAGATTCTAGATGGCTTACGATCTGTAAATAATTCATACCATTTCAACAATAATAGGTAAACAATACACAAATAGGATGTGGTTGAGTTTATATTATTAGCACATTTTATAAATTTAACATGGACCACAAATTGTTTTCTATTTTGCTTTTCGTTGCGAAATATAACCATATAACTAGGTAGTATATATAATTACAAAAATCACTGTATAACATATTCATTGTTAACAATAATATTAAAAGTAATTTGCACATTTGTTTACTGCTGAAAGTTCCAAATTTGATTCAATACCACGAGTCATATGACTTATTTTGGATTTATATATTATGAAAAGCATATTATTAAGAAATTCTGTTGAATTTTTTTCTGAAAAAGTATTTATTGGAGTTAATATTTTTTACAGTGGTTAGAATGGTTAGAATAAAATATGACAACATTCTCTTTCATGTGGGTCCCTTCTCACGTCAGAATTTCTGGCAACGAAAAAGCAGATAAATCCGCGAATGAAGCTACACTTCCTCACAATGCCTTAAAACTAAATCTAACCACATCTTCAGTGTCGCTCAACACCATTAACATCAAAATTCTTGATAGATGGCAAACAAAATGATCCAACGTTGCTCTCTCAAATAAATTATGAAATATCAAGCCTTCCATAAAAAATGGAAATTTTTCTGTAGCCTAAAAAGAAGAGACGAGGTTATTATAAACCAAGCTTGAATAGGCCACACTYAACTCACCCACTCCTTCCTCATCACCAAAGAATCTGCTCCAGTATGCAACACATGCAATGCAAACAAAAATCGACCACTTTATCACTAGATGCCCAAAATACACCGAAGTTCGGATAGTTTTTAAAAACACAACTTCCCTCCGACTTAATATCAGTGAAAAAAACACCAAAGCAACTTTTAAATTTTTCCATTACATAMACTTAAACCATAAATTGTAAATATTTGTAAATTTTATTTCTGTTAAAATTGTAGGCTACTAACTTAAGATGTTGAAGCCTTATCATAAAAAAACAAAAAAAAATATGACAGTAAATTATTAGTAAAAGTACATCAAAACAAAAATATATAGTATTGACCAATTAAATGAATAGTTCGGCATGGTGAATTAAACGTTATTTAAAGCTCGTATGTTCGCAGATCCTGTCTAAATGATGTTTTAAGTGCTGGCTTATAGAATTGTGATTGAATTTAAAATATTGATTATATAATCAATTAAATATAATATAACATCGCAATAACGTATTGACTTAATGATTTGAACAGATCAAGCCCCAAGTAAAAGTTTACATATCTTATGGATTTTGGTAGTTCCAATAARTAAATAAAAAAAAATGTCAACATAATAATATTTTGATTAGAGGTATTGAGTTACAGTACTCCAAAACCCATGATGTTTACACATGTTGCCCATGGTGCCTGAGCTTTATTCAATGCACTATAATATACGATGATGGATTGAATGTTTTATACATAAAAAAAAAAACAATTAAGCTTTCAGAGGAAAATACGTATTTTTCAATTATAAACTGCCATCTACCAGTTATTGATTTGATAAAATATTAATGTTGACCTATAGTGCCTATATTACCTATTTGATAAATGTTATTTAAAAAAGAAAACAATTTTCAATATCATATGGCGTGTACTGAATTTATATTTGAGTAAATACTAAATTTAGATGTTTTATATTATATTTGATTTGATAAAAAAAAAAAAAAAACATATTAAGTTATACTGAGATTTAATGATATTATAATTCTTTATTTTCATGAAAAAAAAAAAAACAATATTATTATTATATTCAATAAAATTGTTTTAGTATTTTACTCAAAATGGCTAACAGTTCTGTATAATCCACGAGGGGTATGTTAGAATAAATTATTATTAGCGTTAACATGTATATACAAWGTACCTACTTCGTATTATATTTTTGTCTTATGTTWATTCCAAAATTATTTTTAATTTTATTGTAAATGTATTGTCGAATGCCTGTTGGAATTTGAAACATTAAATTATAACTACGACATCATACAAAAACCGGTAAGAAAAAATATTGATTATAATATAGATATTATATTATATCTAGTCGAGTATAAGCACTTCACTGCCTTCAAATATTTTCCCGCCATATGCTTATTAATTATTATAATTTATGTATATAGATTTTATATTTTACTAATAAATGAAAAAAAAATATATATATATATAATATATTCTATCATTTTCCATACATACCAAATATTATTGCCTAACCTATGATAAAAATATTGCAGTTCTGCGTCACGGTGTACCCAATTCAATATTACTGAGTTCGTATAATATACGTAATATTGTGAAATTATAATTAGCTCTAATGTAAATATTGTATACCTGGTTGAACATAGTAATTTATTTCTAATTTGTGTATACAATTGCTGAACTGCCGGACGCGTGTGTAGATTGAGTGTTGCGTTTTAATCACGGATCAAAATTACAGTATGTTAAATTTCAATTTCCTGAAAATTCACTCAAATATGAATTTCAATTATTGAGCACGAGGAACAACTTGTTTAAAATTACTTCGTTGAAATTTTATCCAACGACTTTTTGCTCCACCTTATGTAAGATGTCTTGGTTTTTTTTTCACCACTGTGTAATTAGTTTAGAAATACTTTAAAGTGTGCCGTTTTAATTATACGATGGAAGTATCGTGTTTTAAAATTCTGTATATAATCGAAAAATATATAGACCGTGTATAATTTTAATTATTTTGACTRTACGGATAACCTGAATATACAATATCATATAACATTAAATTGTTTGTTTTTAGTTGAAAATTGTGTGTGTGGTACGGTCGAGATTGGGTTATATTTTTGATTCATCAAAAAATCAAAAGATGAAATWYAAAAATTTAAGCAAGTACAAAAAATACTCAAATATTTATAATTTTATAACGTTAATTGAAAATAAATGTTTGTAGTGTATTTTATTGTTACAAAAACTTTAATTGAATTGAATTTCAGTAATGTTGCGGTAAATAAGGAAATGCGATTTGTACCTATATTTCGCTGTGAATTAATCATATTCACAATATTATACCGTTGTCAAATGTCAATATCTATACTTGATTAAAATGTTTGATCATATGCGATACATAATTGTGAAATTAGAGTGATTACAGCTGTTTGTTCAGCTCGACAAAAGCATGTTAACCAGGAACCAAGATCTTAATTCCAGTACTTGACTTCGAAAATAATAAATAGTATCACTACTCTTTAATACACAAACGAATTTACGTCCCCCCTAGCTAATTAATTTACTTAACCATGACAGATTGCCCTCACRYCCCCTTTATTAAACCAAAAAAAAAGTCATACAACCACAAAAATATCATAACTAATATACTTACTTTTGAAGTTTCAACCATATGTGTTTGTAAACTTTATAYACTTTTTTAGGCAATTGAGGTTACACTGGTAATTCGATAAATAATAAATGTAGACWTAAATATTTAATATTCCAAATGAGTAAGTGATTACTTAAWTATATAATACGATTAACAAATTTTGGGTTTAAAATGTYTAAAAACATAACCAAATTCTTATTATAATGAAAAACTTGTGAGGACTAATATGACACCGCAGGAGATGC